TTTTGCAAATGGATCTGGTCCTGGGGGGTGGGGCCATTCTCAATTCCACGAGGGATTTCAAACCGGGGTCTGATCCCCAGGTTTCGTTTAATTTCTGGTCCCAGGCAGGGTTTTGCAGCTAGATCTGGTCCCAGGGGGTTTTGTTCCCTGTTCCACGAGGGGATTTACAACCGGATCAGGTCCCGGGGGAGTTCGGTCCCCATTCCACGTGGGGTTTGGCCACGTATCCGTAACCCCGACGTAGCCAGGGATGCAACATGCCTTCGGCGGGAACGGGGGTGCTGCGGATCGCGGCCGCGCCGAGCTCCGGCGCTGGGGCCCAGGCCCGACCCCGCCGCGGGACCCCCCGCGGGCCCCTCGGAGCCTCGCGGGGCCCCACGAGGGGAGCGGGGCTGCGTCCCGCCCCGGGGCGGAGAGAGCCGCGCCCCGGTGTCCGCCCCGTCGCGTCCGCCCACGCCATGGCCGCCCGTTACCTCCGCGCTGCCCCGGCGCTGCGCCGCCTGCCCCGCTGCCCGCCGCCCGCCGCCGCCGCGGGGCAGCGCCGCCACTGTGAGTGGGGACACGGGGGGACACCGCGGGGCCGCGCCCGGGGAGCGCGCCGGACCCACGGAGGGGCGGCTCGGATTCTTTAGGGGGGCGGTGTCTGAAACGGGATCCGGAGTGGCGCGTACCGACGGTCCGCGGGCCCCTGCCGACCCGCGGCGGGTTTTGTAGCCGGGTGTGCTGCGGGGGGGTGGTCCCGGTTCTGCGGGGGTTTCACAGGTGACTTTGGTCCCTGGGGAGTTTGGTCCCGGTTCCACGTGGCGTTTTGCACTCCAGCTCGTACCTGGTCTGAGCCTGGGGCGGGGGTCGCTCAAGGTCCCGGACCAACGCGGGATTTCGCCCCCCAGGAGAGAGGGCAAAATCCTGGTCCTGGTGCCACGCAGAGTTTTGTTGCCTATCAATGCTCAGGTCCCACTCAGGGAGGGTCACCTCTGCTCTGGGTACCGCGTGGGGGTTTACAGCCTGAGCCACAGACAGGTTTGGCACCCAGAGGGGTTTAGTCCTGGTCCAGGATCCACACAGGGATTTGCACCTCGGTTTGTGCCTGAATCTGGCCCCAGGGGATTGCACCTGCTCCTGGTTCTGGTCCAATTCTTGATCTCACTGAGGCATTGGAGCCCGGCTTGCACGTGAATCCCACTGTGGGAGGAATGTGTCCCTGTCCCTGTCCCCCTCACGTGGTGGGTTTTGCACTCTGACCCCCACTCCAGCAGAGGTGACCCCAATAACGGGCCCAGACCCCAGCGAGGCCTGCCTGTACCTGGCCCTGAGCCAGGGTGGCACCCACACCTGGCTGGATGGAGCTGTGTGGTGCCCACTGGATGCCCTGGCCCCACACAAGGGTGTGGAGCTGTGGGACCGGGGGTGCACCCCTCACACCCCCACTGCTCTCCAGATGCCGACAAGCGGATCAAGGTGGCAAACCCAGTGGTGGAGATGGACGGGGACGAGATGACACGGATCATCTGGGCCTTCATTAAGGAGAAGGTGATGTGGGGTGTGCCCCGGGGGGCTGGGGGGTTGGACGGGGAGCCGGTGATCCCTGTGCTGCCCTCTGTCTGTCCCTCCCGCCTCCGTCCTTCTGCCTGCAGGAAGCAGGTCGTAAAATGGGCACAACTACCAGAACGACCTTTAAGTGAGGCGGTTGCGGGCAGCGGGGGCTGTCTCACACACAGAGGCCTATTCAAGGCAGGGGGGATCATCCTGGTCAGCAGAACCACCTGAGGCAGGGGGAACCAGCTTGGGCAGGCAGCCAGGCTGGGCCGGGATGGGTGCCACGGCTGGCCATGCCGTGGTGCTGCTCCCCAGGCACCCCACACTGTTCCCTCCATTCTGACACTCTGCCGGCCCCTCAGCTCATCCTGCCCAACGTGGATGTCCAGCTAAAGTACTTCGACCTGGGGCTGCCGCATCGGGACAAGACGGATGACCAGGTCACCATTGACTCAGCGCTGGCCACGCAGAAGTACAGCGTGGCTGTCAAGTGTGCCACCATCACGCCTGATGAAGCCAGGGTGGAAGGTGGGCAGGGGCACGGGGCCGAGCTCCCGTTGCAGTGGGGGGGTGCTGGCACCTCCGTGGGGTGCTGAGCCTCCTGTCTGTGCCCCCTGGGGTCAGCGGTGCCTTCCCACTGCCAGCTCAGGTTTCCGGTGGGTTGGGGCTGCACCGTGCTCAGTGCTGTGCCCCTCTGGCCACCCTGGGGGCTCGTGGGTGCTGTGGGGACCCCATGGGCCTGGGGACACACTGACCTGTGCCCTGTGCCAGCCACGATCTCGTGCTGGCTGTCCCTCCCCTTGCAGCAGGGTCTGGCAGCAGCCCGTGGCACAGTGGAGCTGGGTGCTGGCAGGAGCCACGCGCTTCAGGGGGGCTGGGGGTGCTTCAGGGGTCCCATCTGCATGCCCTACAGAGTTCAAGCTGAAGAAGATGTGGAAGAGCCCCAACGGCACCATCCGGAACATCCTGGGGGGGACGGTGTTCCGGGAGCCCATCATCTGCAAGAACATTCCCCGGCTGGTGCCCGGCTGGACCAAGCCCATCACCATCGGCCGCCACGCCCACGGTGACCAGGTGAGCCAGAGCGCGGCAGGGAGCTGCGGCTGCCCAGCAGCTGCCCCCGCCCCTGCCTGACCCCCTGCCTGCCCCCTCAGTACAAAGCCACCGACTTCGTGGTGGACAAGTCCGGGACGTTCAAGATGATCTTCACGCCCAAGGACGGCAGCGGCACCAAGGAGTGGGAGGTGTTCAACTTCCCCGGCGGCGGAGTGGGCATGGGCATGTACAACACGGACGAGGTACTGCTGGGGCTCAGGGGCCCTCGGGACAGCGTGCCTCCCACCTGGGGATGCCAGCTAGGGACAGGGTGCCACGAGGCTCTGCGCTTCCCTTGCAGTCCATCTCTGGCTTTGCGCACAGCTGCTTCCAGTACGCCATCCAGAAGAAGTGGCCGCTCTACCTGAGCACTAAGAACACCATCCTCAAGGCCTATGACGGGCGCTTCAAGGACATCTTCCAGGAGATCTTTGATAAGTATGGACCTGGGTGGGGGTCTGGGCTGTCCTGGGGGCGCTGGCAGCGAGACCCGCGTGGGGTGAGCCTGGCTGACCCCGGCCCGGGCTCCCAGGCACTACAAGACGGAGTTTGACAAGCTGAAGATCTGGTACGAGCACCGGCTCATCGACGACATGGTTGCCCAGATGCTGAAATCCTCCGGCGGCTTCGTCTGGGCCTGCAAGAACTACGACGGGGATGTCCAGTCAGACATCCTGGCCCAAGGTGGAGCAGGGTAGGGCGTGGTGGGCTCTGCAGCGTCACCCCGGCAGCTGTCCTGACCCCCGTCCCCCCGCAGGGTTCGGCTCCCTGGGCTTGATGACCTCTGTCCTGGTGTGTCCGGACGGGAAGACCATCGAGGCCGAGGCCGCCCACGGCACCGTCACCCGCCACTACCGGGAGCACCAGAAGGTGGGCAGAGCCCTGAGCTGCCTGTGCCAGGCTGCCCAGGGCAGCGTGTCCCCAGCAGACAGCTGACCCCTGTCTCCGCGCAGGGCCGACCCACCAGCACCAACCCCATTGCCAGCATCTTCGCCTGGACGCGCGGCCTGGAGCACCGCGGCAACCTGGACAGCAACCCGGAGCTCATCAGGTGAGCAGGGGGTGGGATCCCCGGGGCGGGTCCCTGCAGCAGCTGCTCTGGTCGTGGCAGCAGCTGTGCAAACTGCGCCCCACACCCATGCCCAGGTTTGCGCAGACGCTGGAGAGGGTGTGTGTGGACACCGTGGAGAGCGGGACCATGACCAAGGACCTCGCTGGCTGCATCCACGGCCTTGCCAAGTACGGGGGCTCTCAGGGCACAAGGGGGGCAGCCACCTGCACCAGGGCAGCGTGTGACCGTGCGGGTGGGGGGACCCTCGAGGGTGGCCACAAGAACAGCACAGTGACCACAAGGACGGGCTGGCCCTGCAGGGCAGCCTCGAGGGTGGGGAAGTGACCAGGAGCTGGCTGTGCACCGTGGCCACAGGTGGTAGCTGCTGGCCTCTCTGGACAGTCCCAGGCACTCGGGATGGCTGTTCACTGCTGACTGGGTTGGGCAGGGGCCACATGCTGGAGCCAGGGCTGTGGTGCCTGTGGGAGGAGGCAGGCAGGGACCCCCCCGATCCCTGTCTGTCTCCCCAGTGTGAAGCTGAATGAGCACTTTGTGAACACTACCGATTTCCTCGATGCCATCAAGAACAACCTGGACAAGGCTCTGGGCAAGAAATAGGAGACAGCCTCTCCATCTCTGGGCTGGATGGGGTTGGGAGGGCCCAGTGCCCGCCCCAGCTCCCCAGCACAGCTCAGGAACAGTTGAATAATTTTTGTAAAGTTTTCTTAGGAGTGTTTTTAAAGCCTTTGTAGCAGGGGACTGTGGGGTGGGGGGGTGTGTGGGGGTGTGTGTGTGTCCTGCCCTGATTCATGTACCCCATAACGGTTTGGTGCCATTAAATACCTCCCCAGCCACGGCACAGCACCTGGCACAGCTTTGCACTGCGGGCAGGGGGGGCAGCCAGAGCCCTCAGCTCAGCCTTGCCAGCCTGGGGGGCCGTGCACTGCAGCACTTTGGCATTGGCCTGAGGGCAGCGTCCGGGGGTCCCCAGCCCTGCCAGGCTCAGCAAGGCTCTGTGGCCATCTCCATCCTGCCCCAGGGCTGGCAGGGGCAGGGGGCTGAGTGAGCCACCCCGGGGCGTTGGGGATGGGGCAGATGGTGCTCAGCCACTGACACAGTGCAGGGTGTGTGGGGGCAGCACAGGTGTCCCAGCCCCTGTGCCCTGGCTGGCCCCTGGCTCCTGGTGCCTGCCAGGACCTGCCCAGCTCTGGGTGCTCCTGGGGGATGCTCCTGTGGGTGCTGTGAGTGCTCTGCCCCACAGCAGAGAGTGAAGAGCCCAAAGAGTGGTGCCAGACTCAGCACTGCCCCAGCTGCTTCCCTGCCACACCCCTGGGCACGGAGGGGCAAACCCCAGCTCACAGGCTGCCCCAGGGAGAGCCTTTCCCTCCAGCCCCGAGCAGCTGGGGGGCAAGGAGGGGGTGCCAGTTCCTCTGGCCAGGACCCCACTCAGCCCCTCACAACCCCCTCTCCCCACACAGACCACACAGCTTACACGGGTTTACAAAGCACATTAGTTGAAGGGAACTGAACTCAGTGAAAAGATAAAACCAACCACGCGGCACATCTGAAAAAAATAAATTACTTTCAAAATACCATCATTTGCTGGGGCTGGGCTGGGTTTGCCTCCCCCGGCTCCACCGCTGGCTGCAGCTCCAGAGCCGGAGCTGTGGGCGCTGACTGCGCCCTGAGCTTCTATGAAAATACTCTGTTGTGCATCCCAGGGCCTGGCACAGGGCTGAGAGCCCCGGGGGAGTGGGAAATGCAAACCCACCTCCTCAGCGGGCAGGGCTTCTGCCCGTCAGGGGAACCCCTGTGCAGAGAGGGGGGACCCAGGAGGTAGAATAATTAGTGACGCTCATCATCTTGCTCCACAGCAGCCCCTTCCATCCTTACTCGTTCAGTGATCTGCTGGGTCACGCCTCCCCTGCCTGCAGCTTCAAGTCAGCCGGTGCAGGGTGCAGGCAGGGGCAGGGGGGCAGCAGCAGAGCCAAGGCAGGTCCAGCAAAGTCTTCTGGACATCCCTGTGTTCCCCAAGCCCAGTGGAAGCCATCCCTCCAGCTCTGGGGGACCCGGCTGGGTGCCGCAGCCCCTCTTAACCCAGCAAGCCCCCGCAGCCCCACTGGCCTGGGCTACAACATGTTGTAGTAGGCCATCTCCTTCATGGCCTGCTCGGCCAGCGTGTGCTCGTCTGGGGGGTTGCCCACGGCCCCGTAGCCGTAAGAGTTCTCCTCCTCGAAGTCGTCCATCTCCTGCTGGCCGTCCAGCTCGGCGTGGTCAGCCCCAGCCAGCTCCATCATGGCATCTAGGAGTCAGCACAGGGACACGGTGAGGCACCCGCGGGGAGGGCTGGGGCCAGCAGCTCCCCCTGGCCGGGCCTGGAGCCCACAGCTCCCCGGGAGCCTCAGCCCTGCTGGATCCGGGTGCCTGCGGGGCAGCCCTCGGGCGAGGAGAGCGAACCCGCCTCGGCCAGCACGGCCCAGCCCGGCTCCAGGGCTGCGGGGCAGTCACAGCGCCGTGCGGGGGACCCACCTTGGCTGTCCAGGCTGATGTCCATCACCCCGTGCTTGACCTTCATGTGCCGGCTGAGGTTGCCCTTCAGGTTGAACTTGCTGGAGCAGTAGGGGCACTTGAAGGGCTTGCTGCCGGCGTGCAGGTGCATGTGCCCCAGCAGGTTGTACATGCGGTTGAAGGACTTGCCGCAGACCTGCCGGCAGCGAGCCCACGGTCACCCGAGCTGGCCGGGGCTCTGCGGCACAGGCCCGGCCCCCAGGCTGCCCCGGGGCTCCCAGCAACAGTAACGGGGCTGCTGCCCCCCTGCAGCCCCTCCCGGCTCGGAACAATGGGGCTCCCTCCCGCTCTGCGTGGGGGTGCAGGGCTGGTGCTGCTGGGAGCTCCAGAGCATCCAACGCTGCTCAGAGAGAGGCACTGGTTCTCATTCAGCAGCAGCAACGCTCCCACCACAGCTCAGAGCAGATATTCCATGCCCAAGTGAGCAAAGGAGGCATCACAAAGCGCTTCCATGCCCGAGGGCTCAGCCTGGCCAGACTCCTGTGGGCACAGCACAGCAGCACCTGTGCTCTCACACCCCAGCTCCACCAGCCCCAGCCCCAGCGGTACCTTGCACTTGAAGGGCTTCACAGGGGAGTGCACGATCATGTGGGTCTTGAGCGTCTGCTTCTGCACGAAGGTCTTGAAGCAGATGTGGCACTGGTAGGGCCGGACGCTGGTGTGGATCAGCATGTGCCTCTTCATGTTGGCCTGCAGGGTGAACTCCCGCCCGCACACCTCGCACTTGAACTCCTTCACGCCCTGCCGGGGGGAGAGCTCGGGCAGACCCCTGGCACCGGCCACACGAGGGGTGCCAGGAGTGGAGAAGGGACCCCATGGGCAAGGGACGGGCTCCTTGTGCTGAGCACAGCACGGGGTGCATCTGAGAGCCCAGCCTGGCCTGAGCCCAGCAACGTGCAGGGGCTGTGGGTGGGGGCTGGACAGGCTCTGTAAGTGCAGCTGAGGGCCAGCTCTGCTCTGGGGCTCAGCCCAATGGCTCCCCATTAACGAGCCCAAGGAAAAGGGCAAACATCCACACACACCCTGCCCAGAGGGGCGGTGGCAGCTCCCAGACAGGACTCCCCACATTACCCTGCAGCAGGTCTGAAACTCCCTCCCTGAGGAAGGGAACCCCCAGAAGGGCAGGGGCTGGGTCCCAGGGATCCCCTCATTGCATGTCAGTGTCCCCAGCTAACGCCAGCCACAGGTGCTACTGCCCACCTGCACCACCCACCTCCCCCGAGACTGGGGGCGCTGGGACACTCCCCTCTACCAGCACCCGCATCCAGAGCTGGCACATCTCCTCTGGGCACGATGAGGGCAGCACCCCAGAGGAGCCTGAGCCCCTACCTTGTGCGTGAGCGAGTGCTGCTTGAGGTGGTGGATCTGGCTGAACTCCATGCCGCACTCGGTGCAGACAAAGGGCCGCACGTTCTGGTGCTTCAGCATGTGGTTCTGCAGCTGGCTGCGGTAGTGGAAGGACTTGCTGCACTCCAGGCACTGGTAGAGCGTGGGGCCCTGGTGCGTGGCCAGGTGCCGCTTCAGCTGGGTGAGCGTGGAGAAGTCCAGGCCGCACTCCACGCACACGTGGCAGCGCCCGCTCTCGTGCTTCACCTCATGCGCCTTCAGCTCGCTGGGGTAGGCGAAGCCGCGGCCGCAGAAGCGGCAGCTGTAGGGCTTGATGTCGGTGTGCAGCAGCATGTGCCGCTTCAGGTGGCTGGTCTGCGTGAAGGCTTTGCCGCACACCCCGCACTTGTGGGGCCGCGTGCCCTGGTGGGTCAGCAGGTGGGTCTGCAGGTGGCTGGGCTGCTTGAACAGCTTGTTGCAGTGCGGGCAGGAGTGGGGCTTGATGCCGTTGTGGCCCAGGATGTGGGTCACCAGGTTGTACTTGGAGGTGTAGGACTTCTCGCACATGCGGCACTGCCAGCGCTTCTGGCGGTCGCCCGCCTCCACCAGGTAGGAGTCGTCGATCTGCACGTTGATGTCCAGCCGGTCCAGCTGCGCCTTCCTGCTGTGCTCGCTGGTGCCGCCGGCCGCCTCCAGCTCGCCCGGCTCCTGCCAGACACAGCCCTGCTCGCTCTTCACCTGCTCGGGGGATGCCGGCGCGGGGGCCTCGGCCTCCCCGGGGGACGGAGCCCCCGCCTCGAAGGCGCCCGCGGTTTGTGGGGCCCCCCCGGTGCCGCCGGCCGGGTCGCTGCCCCTGCACCGGCGCTCGCTGCCCTCCGGCTCCCGGTGCCGGCGCTCGCTGCCCTCCGGCTCCCGGTGCCGGCGCAGGTGCCGCAGCCGCCGGGGCTTCCTGCTGAAGGTGCCCAGGTCAATCATCTTCACGGCCTCGCTCTGCACCGCCGGCTCCTGGCTGGGCTCCGGGGGCTGCGGCGCGTGGCCGCGCTGCCCCTCGCCCTCCTCGTCCCCGGGCACGGACGCGCCGTACGGCGGCTCTGCCTCCACCTCTGCCTTCTCACTCTTGACCTTGGGCATCAGCCTCACGGGCGGCCTCTTCCTCCTGCGGGCATGCTTCTCCAGGGAGCAGTCTGCTTCCAGGGCGTCCTCGTCCTGCCCGTCCCCGGGCGCCTGCTCCTCTCCCTCGGGCTCCCCCGGCTCCACGGCGGCGTTGTCCAGCTGCTCCCCGGCCAGCCCCGGGAAGAAGCCGGCGGGGGTGACGGTGGCGCCGAGCAGCTCATTGTCGGACACCAGGCCCAGCACGGCAGCCTGTGCCAGGGACAGCACCACCACGGCGTCCGTCTGCGTCCCGCACTCGCTGAACCGATCCATCTCTCGCCGCCGGCCTACGCTGTCATGGCTGAGGGGGAGAGACACGGCCCTGAGCCCCTGGCACCCACCGGCACGGACACCGTGCTCAGGGGCTCAGCCAGCCCCCACTGCCCTCCCCAGGGAACCCCAGCCCCACAGCGGTGATGTCCCCAGCACCACAGAGCCCAGGATGTGGGGACACAGCGGCCCCAGGGCTTCCCACTGTAGGGCTGGGGTGAGGAGGGAAGCTGGGATCCGTGCCCACCTTCAGCCTCTCCGGATGGGCTGTTACTCTGGCTGCTTGCATGCCCTCAGGCTCCTAGAGTGACTCCAGGGAACCCAACAGCTTGGGAACAGCTGAGTGTGTGAGTGTGGCTCTGAGCCCCAGCAGGAGCAGCAACAGCACAGGGAGCACGAGGGACGGGGCCCAGACCCACCAGGGCAGAGCCTGGCAGTGGGGCTGGCGCAGGCAGGGCTGTGCTGGCTCAGCCCTGGAGGCTGGCACGCTCACCCTGGGGCTCCCAGTGCCACCACAGCACCCTCCCCCAGCGGGGACAGCCAGGAGCTGCCGCTTCCTCCTGCTGAAGGAGTGTTCTCCTAAATACAATTATTCCTGCAGCTACAACAAAGAAATCTTGCGGGGGAGGTAAAACGGATAAATTCTGAGCCAGATCCTGTCACAGTCCCAGGAGAACCCCAGAGCAGGAGGAGATCGTGGGATGAACCTCCACCTTGGAGAAGGGAAACCCCACAGTGCTGGGCAGCATCCCTGCAGCCAGCTCGGCTAGAGGGACACCGAGCATGGCTGGGGACGTCGGCCTCTCTCCGTGCTGCAGGCAGCTCCTGCTCCTGCCCAGCCCAGGAGTGTCCCCTCATGCCACTGCCCTGCGCCCCAAACGCCAGGCACAGCACGTGGCAGGGAGGGGATGGGGAAGGGGATGGAGAAGGGATGGAATGGGGAAGGTCCAAACCAGAGTAAGAAAAGGCAGAGAAGGGAGCAACACCAAGCACAGGGGCCTGGCTGCCCGCAGACAGGTACCGGGTATCCGGGGTACCGGGTCCGTCCTCAGCTCCCTGCCATCTGCTGTGCCACCGCGGGGCTGGCACTGGGCACAGCACGGGGGGCTCCTGGCCCCGGGTCAGGGGGAGCCGGGTCCGGGACCCTGCCCAGGCCAGAGCTGCCGGGGGAAGGTCTCAGCCAGGTACCCCGCCTGCCCGGGCACCCCTTCCTTCCCGGCGGGCAGGGACACAGCGGAGGGCACATGGAGAGGAAGAGGACGGGGGCGGGAGGAGGAGGAGAAGGAAGGGGATGAGGGGAGCACCAGTGCGGAGGCAGCGAAACAAAGCACGGAGTGGGGGAGGGCGGCGGCGGGAAGAGGAGGAGGGCTGGGAGGAAGAAGAGCGATCGGTCAGGGAGGCGGCAGCTGGCGGGCACGGAGCAGCCCCAGGGCCGCACCCCGCCAGCTGCGAGCCCGTCCCGCGGGGCCCCGAGCTGCCCCGCAGGCAGGGGGACACGGCAGAGGGGGGACACGGGAGGGGGGACACGGGACAGGGGACACGGCAGAGGGGACCCAGCTGCTCTCCCCACGAGCCCAGCAGGGCAGAGCGGTGGCTCAGTGCCCCCCCCAGCACGGCCATGGGTCTCTGTCCCCCAAAACAAGCCCCACGAGACGAGAACAACGCACCCACACGTTCCCCAGAGCGGTAGAGAGAACCTTACAGCCACCCCAAACCAGAGGCTTTTAGGGGAAATAAGTGCGAATTCCTGCTCTGGGCAGCGGGAAGGGGCCGCGCTGCCCTCTCAGCAGGAAAGCCGAAGCCTGCGCTGCACAAACCTCTCGGCACCGGTCTCCATCGCGCCCCGAGCCCGGCACACGCCGCAGGAGCTTCGCCCGGAGCCGCAGCTGCACAAACAGCACCGGGAGCAGGAACAGGGCGCAGGCACCGCCGCACTTCCCGCTCTCACTTCCCTGTCCGCGCCCCGGGACTCGCCGCGGCAGCTGGAAACACCATTTCACCATTGCCCAACGCCCCGGCACTGAGGGGGGGTCACGTATTCCGGCTGTCCGGGACACTGCCCGCAGAGCGCTGCCAGCCCCGGGCACAGCCCCGCTGCACCCCGGGCACGGCCCCGGGCCCACCACCGAGCAGCACCGTGCCCAGGCCGGGGCACGCCGAGCCCTGAGGGCCGCACGGCCTCCTGTTCCCGGCAGGGACCCCGGCAGCTCCTCCTGCCCTGCCCGGCCCGGTGCCTGCCCCGCAGCCCCTCAGCCCCGCGCTCCGGGCCCCTCCGTGCCGCTGCTGGAACCGAACGCTCCTCCAGCCTCAGTACCCGCAGCTCTGCAGGGCAGCCCTCTGTGCCAGGCGCGGCTCCCTCGGGCCCAGGCCCGCACCGGGCTCAGGCCCGCACCGGGCTCAGGCCCTCACTGCCAGCCCTGTGCCACGGGGGTGACACGGGCAGTGTCCCCCGTGCCAGCGGCAGTGCCCGCTCCCAGCCCACTCACCCACCTCCCCTGCCATGCACCTGGGCCAGCACTGGGGCCTGCTGGCCCTGAGCGCTGGGGTTGTGAAATTTGGGGCTCTTTCTTCATTTCTCCTCCCACTCCAAGGTTTAGTTTTGGTGCAATCTCTGCTCCCGTGTTTCCCAACACATCTGGGAAGACCCAGGCTCTGCCCTGGCACATCCTGCAGACCCTGCCCTCCCTTGCCCTGGCTGCCCCCTCGGAGTCTCCACCAGCTCCTCACTCACACCTGCTCACCCACAGTAGGCTTTTTTCATGGCTTTCACTTCTTTGTGCTATTTTACTTCTATTTCCCTCTCTTGCTCCATGATTAGCTCCCCAAACACTCACTTCTCTCTCTCTGGGTCTCTGTGGCAGCAGCATCTGCACACCAGGCTCTCCACTCCCAGCACATTCCCTGCTGGATTCAGATTTCCCCCCCCTTTGCTGTTTTACCTCCCTCGGTTTCACCCACCTGCCCAATCCTTGTGCCACCCCACCCGGCTCCTCAGCGAGCACCACCACTCTAGAGACAAGAGCCTGGTAAATCCTCAGCTGGGCAGCATGGATTCAAACATTTCATCTGGCCCACAGCAGCCTCACCTTGGCACCCACAGCTTCGCCTGTAACACCTGAGACCCAAAGGGTCTGAGCTAAGGGAGCACACACAGCCCAGAGCCCCCCAAGCCACGGCCCCAGAGCGGCTCTGGGGGAGAGCAGGGCCCCAGCTGCCCCACAGCCTCCAGGGAGGGGTTAGTGGCCAATTAGCGACCAATTAGTGACCCTCGTTTGCCACCTGGCCCCACTCGCAGCTGCCCTCACCAGCCCAGAAGCAGCAGCACCCACCAGCCCTCACCCAACCATTGCTGCAGGGAAGGGAGGCCCGGTACCCAAATCCAAAAATCCAAAGGGTTTGGGGATGGATTTGAGCTCTCCCAGGGAGCAGCAGCCCCCAGCAGGCGAGCAGGAGCCCACCCAGCCTGGCAGGGGCAGGGCCGTGCTAGTGCCTGTGCCAGTGCCCAGTGCCCAGTGCCAATGCCCAGTGCCAGAGCCCAGTGCCAGAGCCCAGAGCCCAGTGCCAGGGCCCAGTGCCCAGTGCCAGGGCCCAGTGCCAGTGCCCAGTGCCAGGGCCCAGAGCCCAGTGCCCAGTGCCAGAGCCCAGTGCCAGAGCTCAGTGCCAGAGCCCAATGCCCAGTGCCAGAGCCCAGTGCCAGTGCCCAGTGCCAGTGCCCAGTGCCAATGCCCAGTGCCAGTGCCCAGTGCCAATGCCCAGTGCCAGAGCCCAATGCCCAGTGCCAGTGCCCAGTGCCAATGCCCAGTGCCAGTGCCCAGTGCCAGGGCCCAGTGCCAGAGCCCAGAGCCCAGTGCCAGAGCCCAGAGCCAGAGCTCAGTGCCAGAGCTCAGTGCCAGTGCCCAGTGCCAGTGCCCAGTGCCAGGGCCCAGAGCCCAGTGCCCAGTGCCAGAGCCCAGTGCCAGAGCTCAGTGCCAGAGCCCAATGCCCAGTGCCAGAGCCCAGTGCCAGTGCCCAGTGCCAGTGCCCAGTGCCAGGGCCCAGTGCCCAGTGCCAGTGCCCAATGCCCAGTGCCAGTGCCCAGTGCCAGGGCCCAGTGCCAGAGCCCAGAGCCAGAGCTCAGTGCCAGAGCTCAGTGCCAGTGCCCAGTGCCAGTGCCCAGTGCCAATGCCCAGTGCCAGAGCCCTGAGCTGGCACCTGCAGCAGTTTGTGTCACCCGACCCTGCACAGCTTCCCAGGCCACCTGACAAGCCCGGTGCCACAGCACAGAGGACATCTAGGACCTGCTCCTGGCTACCCCCATTGCAAGATCCCCATTGCAGGACCCCATTTCAGGACCCCCATTGCAGGATCCCCATTTCAGGACCCCCATTGCAGGATCCCCATTGCAGGGCTCTCGCTGGGGAAGGGGGGAGTAAAACTGTTCAAGACTTCTTACCAGAAAATGGCTGATAATGTATCTGATATTTGTGAGAAAACCTTTGATTTTATTTTCCTTTCTTTCTCAAAAGCAGCCTTCATTTAAATTTAATAAAGGGGAAAACAGGCTTTCATCTTGCCTGCAGATTTCACATAAAGCTGCTCAACCCCCCACAATTCCAAAAAGAAAAATGTTGTTCTCCTGAAAATCACAACTAAAATTATTCTTAAACCCGACCCAGCACGTCTGCCCTGCCCCAGCCCAGGGATTTGGGGGTCACCTTGGCTGCACTGCTGGCCCTGGCTCTTGTTGGTGCTGTGTGCCAGGGGCTGACCCACACACCATGGCAGAACCGAAATTGGCACTTCTTGCCCCAGAACTGACCCTGGTACAGAGGAACTGCTGCAAAAATGAGCCAAAGCTCTGAGAAACGGGCAGGAGCCGCAGAAAACAAACACCTGTTTAAATTCAGTCAGTGTCTCCACACCAGATACTGTCAAACTACATTTTCAAAGGAAAACTTTTGTTTTAAGGAAAACTTCTCCAGAAGAAAGAAACCTGCCCTGTCAGTGGCTCAAGGAGCCACAATCCCCAGGCAGTGACAACACAATGTCCCT